TAAGTGTCAGTCTTCGAGTTGATTCATGACACTTTGCTGTGCCACAAACGGGATTTTGAATGACGAAATATGCATGGACCAATCACTGAATAGATTTTCTTATTTAAGAATATTCTCAGATAAATTCACATTGAATGGTTAAATGGTGATCAGCTCCGGTGGCCGTGTCGGTGCCGTAACACACCGCAGACGTGTGCAGTGTAAATAAGGGGTAAGAGATTTATTCATGATAGAGTGTAGGTAGCTTCACTGATCATAACGGGAGTGTTTTTAAAGAGCATATAATACTCGTGCTAGACTGAAGTCAGTTATGATGTTCTTTGGTAATGTAAATATTCTTTGCTCGTTTCTGTTTGAATAACTGAGGAAATGTAACTGTTTTATTAACTGCTTGGCGTCAAAAATTTCAAGAACATTCTTCCTCTCCTGAACGATTTGCACACGTCTCTGTCTCCTCAGCGCCATCACAAACCCCTACTGGCAACTCCTAACCACTTAAGAGACCTCTCGAGCTGTCTTAAATAACTGGGAGAGTAAGACTGATTCTTAGCTTTAAGAAATTTGATAACTTGCTTTTATACTTAAGTTTGAAAGTAGGAGTAAATTTAATGAATTCTCAGCACTTAAGACTAAAATGGCACTTTAAGAAGCTTCATAAATACGGGCCCTGAACCCACATCTGCCGCATGGAAGACCCTCATGTCCCGCAAAGCTGTCCTCCACTGTTGACTAATGCAGACATGGTCAATCTCATTAAATGTGAGTCCATTTGGTGAGCGCCATGTGATCTTGTGAATCCTCTTATGTTGGAAAAAGGTATTTCCTACGCAAAGGTTGTTTTATATGCAAAACGACATCAACCGTTCTCCATTGTCCAACAGGCGTTTCGAGGATGTGAAAGGTCCAATGTTGTCTTTGAAGCCCTGGCGGTCGTGGCTGAAGTGAGCATTCATGTCACCAATAATGAGTTTGAGATCATGTCTCGGTTTTTCGTCAATCACGGTCTGTAGCACATCGTAAAACTCTTCCTTTTCAGCCTCATCTGCTTCCTCAGTTGGTGCGTAAACCTGAATGACCGTTGTCCGTATATGGCCCGATGCAAAATGGGCCGTGATGATCCGATTGCAAAACGTCTTCCACCCAACCAGGGCTCGTATCGTTTGTTTCCTGAGGAGCAGTACAACCCCAAGGACGTGTTTGCTGTTAATATTGGAGTACAGGATCTTCTTTCCATCACTTGTCATTTCACCACTCTCTGTCCATCGAACTTCACTGATGCCAAGCAGATCCAATCGATGTTGCTCAAATTCCTTAAGTAACTGATTTAGCCGGCTGCTTTGATGAAGTGTACGTACGTTCCAAGTTCCCATTCGGGTGATCTTCTTTGCAGTAAACATTGTATCCGTCATCAGGTGCTGGACTCCACAATGGATTTGGTCAAACACCTTCATATTAGGATCTAGATCCGAGGTCCCGCGTCCAGTTTCATTCAATGTATTTTCCCTTGTCATTTCCGTAGCAAATAAATGTCAATATATAATAAAATGTATATATTATATTATTATATTATATTATTTAATCATCCTAATAAACTTGCAGGAGGTGGTGACTTTTTTTTTTTTTCCCTGGGAGTAAGGTATTTGTTTTTAATTGAACAGCCATGTAATTGTATACTTTTATTGGGAAAATAAAAGAGCTCAGCAAGTATAATTTGCCCTTTAAGAAACATGTGTTTCTGTTTAATGATTACAGTCTTTAACTGCGTGCTGCCACCACACAGCATCTCTTGCCCACCCGAGCTCCCTGACAAAGGTTAACCGGCTATATCATCAGCTGAGCCTGTCCTCATTCACTTCAAAGCTCCTCTGCCACGCTGCAGCTCCCCGGCCTCAGGCACAACAGGCCTTTTTTATTGGTGAGAAGCCTGTCGAATTGTTCTGACAGACGAGGACAAAAGACTGACTGTGGATTTGTGCTGAAAAGGATGTAACGCTGGCACAAAGATGGTCAGGACTTCCCAAATGCATTTTGAACAATTTATTTGTCTAATAAGACTCGATCTACTAGCTCTGCATAACTCTGTCAATATCTGTTACAGCTGATACCTTGCATATAAACCTCCCGGTGTTGAGTTCTTGTCTGAACATGCATGACTGAGCTGGGAGGTGGTAAATTAGGCGAGTTGGGGGTCTGTTTGATGCCTGAGGTCAACTCAGGGCACTGTTACAGGTGGTTATGGTTGAATGGAGAGCATTACTGAAATGCTTCACATCTCCGCCTTATTCTGTCCCCACAATGAGTGACAGCAGAAAAGCTCTGCTTACGACCGGCTGTGCTGCCCCTTACCTCTGTCTGTCTGTCTTTTTCTTTCACACATACAGATACAGGCATTACAGTTCACTCCTCTATGTTGGTATATTCAGTTTCCTGATTTTTGATCCTGTTTGTCATTGTCTTCAAAACCACAGATGTTTGGTTTACATTCCTCTGTTGAAGAACAGCAGGCTGCTTTGCTATTTTCTCTCACTTTTTTCCCCCCACATTTGGAAAGTGTAACAAATAGTTTTTCACAGCTGTAGGGCTTCAAAGGACTGGAAAGGATAGATCTCTCAGAGATAAACCAGTGATAAACATTCTTTAAACATTCATCTGAGATCTGTTTTAAAATAGAGGCCATTAACATTTTTTAAAATAGCACACAGTTGGCTGACATTTACGGCAAATGAGAACTATTTTTGAATTGTCTACGCAAATCCTCTAATCAGCATAAACATTACAGATAAGTCAGAAAAGGACGGTAAGAAAGGTGAAACCATACACCATGTCACCTTTCCACATAGTTTGTCTTAAAACGGAGCGGGAATCTCATCTCCTGTTAATATTTCACCATATAAAAATTTAAATTTTAATTAGCTTATTTCTTTCATTGTAACAATATTTTTATGACAATTAAGCAGATTTTTGCACAAACATATTACATTGTGTACACTGTGTAATAAATACATAAATAAAATAAAAACTATAAATAATAATAAAAAATATGTTAGGAAGTTGTTGTGACTTGTTTTTGCAATACCCATTATTCTCAGTGGCATTACCATGGAAGCCTGTTTTCGCCACAAAAAGTATTTGCAATTTTTTTTTCAGAATTGTGAGGAAAAAGTCAGAATTGTGAAATAAAAATTATAATTTAACTAAGTTTACATCTCGCAATTCTGAGTTTATATCTCGCAGTTCTGATTTTTTTCTCTGAATTCTTAGCTTACATCTCAATTCTGTGTTTTTGTTTCCACCATGGAATAAAAAATTTAAAAAGGTCATTTTTAATCTCACAATTACAACTTTTCTGAGATTGAATTCTGGCTTTATATCACGCAATCCTGACTTTTTCTTATTGCGAGAAAAAAGTCTCAATTGTGAGATGAAAAGTCAGTTACCTTTTTTATTTTTTTTATCCCGTGGCAGAAATGGGCTTACATACATTTCTGATTCTGCAATATTTTACTAATTTTAAATCTGCATAAATTACAGTACAGCAAATAACCCTTGATATTTAAATAATTAGCTATTTAAATATATTTCCCTTGCTTTACACTAATGAGAATTAAGGGGTAAAGTGTTTAATTGTCATGAAAATAAAGTAATTGCAAAAATGAAATATAATAAATAGAATTTTATATTAAAACATTAATAAAACACTTAATAACTGAAAATTATTTTTTTAGTTATTTAGTTAGATATTTAGTTAGTTAGTTAGTTAGTTAGCTAAATATGACCTGGACACCTTCTTGACAGATTTTGAGAAATTTACTGTGAGATACTTTCCTTCTGAGATTTTATGTGTACATTTATGTGTAGATTTCATGTTTAATCTAACTGAACCTTAACAAAACTAAGAATTATTACAAGAACAACTGCACAAAGAACTCAAACTGGGCTCTTGAAAGCGCAAAAGCTGCTCTCTTCACCTAAAGTAACCACAATAAAGATCGGATGTGGGACATCAGCCATACTATCAAGCGGCCATATGCTTTCAATCACTGCTGCTCACCATTGTATGCCACTAAGATTTCATATTCACCCCTAGTATTCACACACGTGGTCCTGCTGATTTTTTTAAGCATAGATGGCTGTGATTCTGTCATCAGTGCACTGGAGGGAGGGTTTCTAGAGGGGAGGGAGATGAGGAGAGAGAGAGAGAGAGTGTGTGTGTGTTGGGGACGTTGGAGTGCGTCAGAGCGCACTGGCTCCCCTCACTCCAAACTCACTGCATCTCCTTTCCAAGAAAACTCCTCCAGATTTCAGGAAGCCTCTGGATTGCTTTGTTTGGATGTACCGACAAATATTACAAACCATCCTAAAGAAGGATAGCGGGAGTTTAGATTGTTTTATCAGCGCAAAAGGAGGGAAAGCGCCGTTACGCGTCGACTTGAGAGATTTATTCGACAATTTTGTAAGCAGCGCTCAGGACGCGCATAATGGATCGATAGTACGAACTTCTGGGAGTGGAAAGAAGCTCCTCTAGACACCGTGAAAGCGCAATTTTTGGTGGAATAAAGGATCGTTACAGAGAATTCATTAGTTATATAGTGTTAGACACCGTTTCAGAACGACGTGCGCTGTGATGGATGGAGCAGTTCTCTTGATATCGATGCTGGTGTTGGTTTTCTCTGGAGATGTAAGGAGCGCGTCGTATCCTCAGCGGTATAACCTTTACGCAGGGACCCAGACTCAGACTCAGCCTTTAAACGGGGCGAGAGCAGCGAGCAGACACAGGTAATAACATTTTCATTTCAGCAAATCAATCTGCGCTCTCATATTCTTAATATGACGAGAGAAAGAAAGAGTCTGTATTGTGAAAGAAGATGTGCCATGTTGCTAATAAAGTACCATATTATTAGTTTATTACATTGGTTCCACTTTAATATGATAGATAGATAGATAAATAGATAGAAAGATGGATGGATAAATAGATGGATGAATAAATGCATATAAATGTGCCACAGTGTGTGTGTGTGTGTGTGTGTGTGTGTATATATATATATATATACCATGATAAAAGTACCATGAAAGTACCTTGTTATTACCTTATGATACCATTACCGTGGTTCCACGATAGATAGATAGATAGATAGATAGATAGATTAACATATGGATTGATGGATAAATAGATGCATATATATGCGCCTTATATATATAATATAATATATATATAATTAGTATTATTATTATTATTATTACAGTGATGTATATAAAAGTAGCATATTATTACTTTATGATACCATTACCTTGGTGTCACGCACACCACACGGACACAGATGCAGGCTTCAGCGAAAAAACAGTTTATTTATAATAAGTCCAAACCAAGAGGGCAATTCCTTGAAATAAATAACAAAAAGCCAGGGCGTTAGGAAAAATAGTCCAACAGAAAAACTGAGCAACAAAAACTCTCTTGCAAAAACACCCGGCAGAGGGCGCTCAACGGCGCGGCCGCATGAGGAATTCGAGAGTGGAGAGGGGAGGAAGTGGCGAGGGAGCCGGCGTCCGAGCGGGGCGAAAAACTTCTGCGGGGATGCAGACGCCTGGCCTAGGAAACGGGGCAGGAGAAAAATAGAAAAACAAAACAAATGGAAGAAGCAACAACAACCTGACAGGGAGCCGACAATGGCACGGACAGACAAGACTAGACAGGACCAGACCAGACGGCTGAGTGTTGGCGAACTGGCGAACAACGATCTAGCACTGGACGACACACAAGAGGGGAATAAATAGAGCAGGAGACTAACAGAACATTGAATTCAGGTGAGCGAAATCAAACAATAATGAGCAATACGGGTGGTAACGAGAGGGAGGGAGGAACGCCACAGAAGAGTACATGGTGAACGATCAAAACAAAACACCATGTGTTCACAACATGCAGACAGATACACAGCCCAAAAACCGAAGGACAGGGTGATCAAACAAAGGACATGACAGTACCCCCCTTCCGACGGACGCCACCAGGCGCCGCAGGAAGGGGCTCACCTCGTCGCCGACAGAAGTCCTCGACCAGCGTCCGATCCAAAATGTCCCGGGCTGGAATCCAGCTCCTCTCCTCCGGACCATAGCCCTCCCAGTCCACAAGATATTGAAAGCCCCGACCCCTACGTCTGACATCTAGCAACTTCCGCACGGTATAGACCGGGGAGCCATCCACTAGACGGGGGGGAGGGGGGGTTGGGGCAGAGGGAACAAGAGGGGAATACAACACAGGTTTCACCCTTGAGACATGAAACACAGGGTGCACCCGACCAAGCATGGTAGGAAGCTTGAGCCGCACCGCTGCCGGACTCAGGACCTTGGTGATCCGGTATGGGCCAATGAACCTGGGTGCCAGCTTGCGTGAGGCTACCCTGAGAGGCAGGTCCTTGGTGGAGAGCCATACCCTTTGACCATACATATAACGGGGGGCAGGAGTCCGGTGACGATCTGCCGCTGCTTTGGTCCGCCTATTCGCCTGGGCCAAGGCCACCTTAGCTTCCAGGTGCGTCGACACCGTCGGACGAAAGCCAAGGCAGACGGGACCGCAGCTTCGGGTTCCTGTGTGGGAAACAAGGGGGGTTGATAACCTACAGAACACTGGAAGTGGGACATACCTGTGGCAGAGGCCGGAAGGGAATTATGGGCGTACTCTACCCAGGACAGCTGTTGGCACCAGGAGCTCGGATTGTGGGATGCCAGGCAGCGGAGAGCGCGCTCTAAATCCTGGTTTGCCCGCTCAGACTGCCCGTTGGTCTGGGGATGGAATCCTGAAGACAGACTCGTAGAGGCCCCGATCTGCCGACAGAATTCCCTCCAAAACTGGGAGACAAACTGGGGACCCCTATCGGAGACCACGTCGACCGGAAGACCATGAATCCGGAATACGTGATCAACCACCACCTGCGCAGTCTCCTTGGCTGAGGGGAGCTTGGGAAGGGGGATGAAATGGGCCGCCTTGGAGAAACGGTCCACCACCGTGAGAATGACGGTGTTGCCCTTAGAGTCCGGGAGGCCAGTGACAAAATCAAGGGCCAAGTGTGACCAGGGGCGAGAAGGGGTGGCCAAAGGGCGGAGCAGACCAACGGGAGGCACATTGGAAGTCTTGTTCCGAGCGTACACCGAGCAGGCAGCCACGAACTGCCTGACATCCTTGGCCATGGACGGCCACCAAAATCGCTGACGGATGGCAGCCAGCGACCTCCGGACTCCTGGGTGACAGACTAGCCTGGATGAGTGACCCCACTGGATTACTTCGGATCGTAGTTCAGAAGGAACAAACAGACTGCCCGCCGGAACCCCCCTTGGCCCTGGGCTTTTAAGTAAAGCCTCCTCTACTCGTCTTTCGATGCCCCAGGAGAGGGATCCCACCACCACCTCCTTGGGCAAAATGGTGTCAACTGATTCCTCCTCCCCAGGGGCCTCGAACAGACGAGAAAGTGCATCGGGCTTGACATTTTTGGACCTGGGCCTGAAAGACAGGGTGAAATTAAATCGGCCAAAGAAGAGGGCCCAGCGAGCCTGTCGGGAGCTCAGCCTCCTGGCTGAATGGACATATTCAAGGTTCT